ACATTATGAAATAATACTATACAAATTACTATTGCATAAGTGTGTATAACTAACATTTAAGTAAACTCTTGCATCTTACCATCGGGGACACCTGGTGTAGAACTTGTAGTCTTTAGTGGTCTTCCTCTAGGTCTTATTGGTTGATTAGGATCACTAGATTTTCTTGGTGGTCCGCCCTCCTTCCTTGGTCTTCCTCTTGCTTTTGCCTACACATAAATATATAGTGAGTAAAAAGAACTGCAACTAACTGTCTCCAGCAGTTTAAAATTTAGTGCCACCACAAACTGAATGTCACCACTACTCACTGAAGGCTTTTGCAGTGTAGTATGGGATATGTTACCCTTTTGAGGACACCTTCTTTTGTTATGGTCATTCCCGTTGCATATTGTACAACTCATTTGTATGCCATGTTTACTTAATTTTCCTTTCTTATCAAACCTTTCATGTGCCTCTTTTCTCCTATTTTTCTTCGGCCGGCCTGCACCTATCTTTATTGGTGGAGGATTTAAAACATATTCTATCTTCTCCCAATGTCTTTCACCATTTATTGGTTTTAATGAATAACTGTAGCTTTGGAGGTACTTCTCTTTCTTAAACCAGTCAAGGACAAAGTTTTCAGGAGGGATCCGTAACCAGTTGCAACAAGAGATGACATGTGGACATGGAATACCGGTTAAATCCCACTTCCGGCATGTACACGTCCTCTCATTCAGATTCACACAAAACATGTCTAAACGATGCATAACTTGAAACTCAAATTCACTGGCAGCCAAACAAATGCATTTTCTTGCTTTTTCCTTTTCCATCTCTAGGCATTTCCTCACTCTAGGACAGATATCATCGTGTCTAGAGATCATAATAGATCTATTCTGATGTATCCTTTGCATAACCTGCAACCTTATTTCTTCAAGCATGTGTATAAGCGGTTTGGATCTTGCTTCAATAATATATCCATTAAATGTCTCTGCCATATTACTCACAATCACATCACTTTTGCTCACAGTTTGCATATAGGATCTACAAAATGTGGTCGGATTCTGGGAAATGAAGTCCTCAACAGCCTTGGCACTAACACCTTTCATTTCCTCAAGTGCACTGTCAAAGTCAGCTCTAGCATATGCTCTAACAGCCTTCCAATACAAGCTCCTGAGTTGCTCCCCCTTATGCTTCTTCAACCAATTTGCAAATATATGCCTAGCACAATTCCTATGCTCTGCGGCTGGAAAGTGCTCTCTAACAGCATTACAAAGCCCTTTCTGTTTATCAGAACAAATTGTAGAGTTCTCATTACCAAATCCGGGCAAATCACGTTTTAAAATATCCAAGAACCAACTCCAAGAATCATTGTTTTCAGCCTCCACCACTGCCCAAGAAACCGGGTACATTTGATTGTTTCCGTCTCTTCCCACAGCACATAGCAACATCCCACCCAAAAATGTCTTTAGGAAGCATCCATCTAAACATAGCACAAATCTGCATCCAGTTACAAACCCGTCTCTCAATCCCGGAAAGCTAACATAAAGTCTCTTAAATATATCTGGTTCTCTAGGAATATCGGGCTTATCAATGACGAGTACTGAAGTGAAAGTAGGGTCAACTCTCTTCATCTCCCCCAAGTATGAAGCAAGTTTACTATAGTGTTCTTTTAAAGTCCCATGTAACATCTCGTGAGCTCGTTTCCTCACATTATAGCAAGCAAATCTCTGAATACGCACACCAAATCTCTCCATCACCGATTGTTGTAGAGATTTCCTAGGCCAATTAGGATTTTTTCTATACTCCTCCAAATACTCTTCAGCTAACCAAGTAGGCTTAGCTTGTATATTCTCATAATCTTGCCTATTGCACGTGTGGTTAGGATTCAAAGACTTCACAACAAATGACTCTTTAAGTCCATCCCAAGAAGCGTATATTCTCCAAACACAACCCTCCTTACATTTGGCTGCGACCTTCACCTTTTCACTTTTACTAAGCCTAATGCTATACCCTGCAATCACAGCATACCTCACTAGTTGTTTTTTGAAAATTTCAGGTGAACAAAACTTCATGCCCACTTTCCATACTAATATTTTGAGTGTAGCATCATTATCAACTTTGTATATAACACTCTCCTTCTTCACACTGCTCTCACCTTCTTCATCACTTCCAGTTGGTGTCAACAAATAATTTTCAGAATTATCACTATCATAAAATGGCTCAAATCCATTGAATTGATTTTCAGCAACTATATTCAAATTGTAACAACTTAGCTTTTTTCTACTACCAATCCATTCCTCGTCACTGGAAGAACCACCACTATAAATATCCTCTTTTTGAAAATTTTCGGACTCATTCTCTTCAGCCCCTTCTCCTTCTTCAATAAAATGGCTCACTTCCATGTTACACCACAATTATAACTCAAATCTATCAACCACAAGTTTAAAAGTAATCACACTAGATCAGCTTACTTTCAAATGCGACTGTCAGGTAGCAAACTTGTTCTTTTAGCTCGCTTTGTCATCGTCTTCTCTATCGTCTGCAAGCTAAAAAGTGGCGTTCTTTTGGGAAAATAGGTTTTGAAGTTTCTGTCCAGCCTTTCCCTAATTAGGAGCGTGGCTCTTAATATTTTTCCCCAAATAGAAAAGTTATGGCTTATGTGGAATAAAAATTCCAGCTAGATGTTTCTTTTCCCGATAAACATGACATCGGGTAGGACTATCTCAACTTAAACATTGTGGGGGTATTAATTTAACATGGACAAGTATAGGGTGGGCACCTCACACTTATGATAAGTTGGGGGTATTTTATTTATTTTCTCCTTTAATTAATGATATCTATTGATTATTGATACCATAGATTAAAAGATCATGCAACTCTTACCATTTAAGAAGTATATTGAGAGGAATGAACGTGAGGTCAATTTATTTATTTGTCCTTAATAGCAATTATTTAATTAATCAATTGTACTCAATAGCAATTATTTATAAAGCAATTTCAATTTGAAGGTTCTACTTTATTAGTAAGTAAGTAGATAAAGAAGTCATAGAGAAACCATACACAAGATACTGGTACTTTACAAGATGCACTCACATAATTGTCTGTACACAGACAATTTGACCGGCTACACAGTCAAATTGAGTGGCGATTTATGAAGAAAATCGATTTTCACACAAACAAAAAAAATCTGTATCACAGACGCTTTATGAAAAATTCCGATCTAAAATGTTTGCGATACAGACAAACCTTTACATTTTGTGTGTGAAAATCGATTTAACAGACAAATCTTTATATTTTGTCTGCGATACAAACAAAAATTTAAATGATAAACATCACAAATCTATTTAGTATAACAGTGTAATAAGTACTAGTATTCAACATCATAACAAAATATCATAACAACATATGTGATATACAAAATTAAAAAGGGAACATATATACCCTAAATGCACAAAAATATGAAATAAATTAGGAAAAATTGATTGTAATAATCCCAACTATTGGCGGTCCGCTTATAATAATCCCAACTGTCGATTATTTCATAATAATCCCAACTTTAGGGACCTTCCGCCAATAATAGTCCCTGTAAATAAATTCATGTAGTTTCTAAAGTGGATGAGAAGAGAAATAGCAAGTAATCCCTATAAATAATCCCAACTTTTAATTTTTACGCTTAATTTCTATTTAAAATTCACTTTTATAGGAGGTAATATTTGGTCATGGACCATTATTGGCGGACGGTCCATATAGTTGGGATTATATAAAAATAATCAATAGTTGGGATTATTATTAGCGGACCGGCAATAGTTGGGATTATTATTTTCAATTTTTCCAATAAATTATTACCTCATGAATAATATTTGAGAGAGCAAAGTAGATTCAAGTTGTGACTGCTCCTATTTTTCTGAGAGGATTTAGATCTGCAAAAAGTGAGTTTTTGAAATGAAGAAAACAAGAAAATAGAAGAAAAAAGATGGAGAAAGGGAGATAAAGGGAGGAAAGAAAAAGAAAAGAGGGAAAGAGGAAGAGGAAAGAAATGAAGATAAGGAGGGAGAAGAAAAGCGACTGTTGGGCGCGCAGGGAGGGAGAGAAAAGAAAAAGAAAAGAGGAAGAGGGAGAAGAAAAGTGACTGTTGGGCGCGCAGGGAGGGAGAGAAAAGAAAAAGAAAAGAGGAAGAGGGAGAAGGAGGAAGTTGGGCGTAGGGAGGGAGAAGAAGAAAGAAAGAAAAGGAAGTAGGGAGGGGATGGGTTAATAGGGTAAAGAGGAGGGGTGGGGGCTTTTGTGGTGTGTACATTGCTGTGTACACTGCTGTGTACACAAAGCAATTTCCATAAATAAATTCCGTAGCTCAAGTACGAAACGAGAAAACACTAAAAAGTACTCCGTAAAAACTACAAAGTAACAGTAATGGGCTAAAACAACTAGTCTAAAGTGATACTCGTATCTCTGAAGATAATACTAAAGGGCTTAAATTAACAAAACTGTAACCCAATTACATTTGGTCTGAAGAGAACACTATTTGAAATTCCAACCAAAATAATCTGATTTTGTAGCTTGAATTTACGTGCATTCAACACAATGTTTTTATGTTATTAATTAATCTGCCGAGTTTGTCATCACGGGTCGAGTGCAAGTGTGCAACTCTAATTTATTGCAATGACTAAACTAGCTACTTGGTCGAGTACGAGTTCAATGAAAATTATCATGAGAATTAATTAATCGCACACATTTTTTGGAGATGTACTTGCATGTTCACTCTACCAATTCAGATTATTTTCCCCGAAATAATTAGTTGAGAAAAGGGTCATATAAGCCCATGTACTAGTTACAAAACATTACCTAAGCCCGTCTACTCGAAAAAACATCACATACACACGTGTACTCGTTAAAAAAAATGACCTAATACTCCCAGTTGAACATTACGTGGATGTATTTTTTAACCCAATTACAGAATGTTTTGCCACCTCATTCCGGTTGGATGTATTAAATGACACGTGTGGACAACTCATCTTTCTCATTTACTCATCCCACCGGTATGTTTACGCTTCTTCTTCATAAATTTAGGGTTCTTACTTTCCTCTTGTCCGACCTTGGAGAACCTTGAAATGGCGTCCTCTTCCTTTACCTCAACCGCAAGGATAACACCCAGTTTGAGCTATGAACCACCTGTATATTGCTGGTCCGGGTTGAAGTCTCCTATATGTGTGGCAAGAGAAAGTGGTAGAAGATTCTTTGGTTGCCAGAGATGGAAGGTCAGTGCACTCCAATTGGTAAATTAGTTGTAAAATTCATTCTTTTGAGGGGGTTTAAATGATTCTGTATGCTCCTTATCAATCAATGGACCATTTGCAAGGGTTTGAAAGTTTGAGTGATTTGATAAGAAATTAGGGTGGAATTATCCATATTTTTTTGGCAGATTATTTATGTGGATGATTTATTGGAATGGATAATTTGGATGAGTGTTTTCATTATATTTTTGATGAATTTAAGCTCATATTCCCACATTCATGGTTTAATTTCAGCCTGAATTTTTGTGAATTTGAGCATGAATGGGGCAAATGAATCAGACAAATGCGGTCCAGAATTCAAAAGTTTTGTAATGCTTTTACTTGTGCTTCAAAATTTAGGAAGGAGGATGCAAATACTTTGCTTGGAAAGATGAAAATGGAATTGAACAAGGACAAAATCCAGAATTACTAACTTCAGGAGCTGAAAAAATGCTATTTCAAGACCTCAAATATATTGTTTGTGATATGAGAAGGGAGTTAACTGGTCGTCGTGTTGAAGTTTCTGATTTGAAGACAATTGTGCAAACGCAAATGGAGGATATGAAGAAACTTATCGAAATGGAGGAAAGCAAGAAATTTGAATTCTTATGGAAACTTGTAGGACTAGTTGTTATAGGGGTATCAATGATCATTTATGTACCCAATGAAAAAAATAGTGTTGTAGTTGTGTGAAAGATGTTAGTGCAGGTAGAAATTTGCATAATGTCTTTGGCTCGTAAGAACTTATTTCTTGATGTAATATGTCTGCAAGTTTGTTGGCTTCATGCCTAAATTTGGGTTGGTTTTGAACTTGATGGAATTTGTATGGAAGTTTATTATGACACCTCTAAGAATTTTGGTGTGACTGAATTCATCAATCCAAAAGACCATGACAAACCAATAGAGCAGGTTATTGTAGTGATGAGGGCTGCTATAGAGTGCTGTCATAAGGGTTGGGGAATACAAGCAGGCTCCAATAATTGGATAAAATTAAAGCTGAAACCTTTTCACCTCTTTTTCATGAAAATGTCACTCAAACCTCAACTCCAAACTATCTTAATCTCAAAACTTCGAAGTATTCAGATATTTGTAAGAGTCTGAGTTGTACAGAATCAGAAAAAGTATTCTTATGGTGAAAAGTAAACACCTAGTGTATCCTTTTTTCGGATGGAAACCTAGTATACCCTATGATCAACACTATCTTAGTTTTGGGAGGAGTTACTATCATACAGTAGTTTTTATACACAGTTCCTTTGAGAAGTACATAAATAATTCACTACATAATTATAAAAGTTACTCAAAACTCAACTCCAAACTATCCTAATCTCAATAACCAGAAAAAGGGATCTCCAGAAAAGATCAAAATGGGTCCAAAACCTGCATTTACTTTCCCAAATGTAACTCAAACGGTCAATCCCACCTGTGGGATTATAGAGAAAAGAAAACTCAAACTTAGAAGAATCCAAAACCAACATGTACTTTCCACATATTGATGCTTATAAGAGCAGTTACTTAAAGTTAACCTGGAAATAGCTTATTGCAAAGATGAATAATCGTCAACAAAAAGGGATGTTTGCCCATAGTTAGTACATTTACAAAAAGGGATTATATACCAATCCCATATAAAATGATCCAAAACACCGAAAAAATCCCACTGCTCAAGCTGTCTGGTTGCACTTCTTCTGCCGTCTTTATCCATCCATATCCCAACTTATACAAATTTCAGAGCAAAGACACAGAGCAACGCCATTCATATTCAACTTAAACGTGAAACCAAGACACAGAGCAAAGTCACGCTTGAATTTAGAAGTGAAGAAAGAAGTAATTCGCAGAACCTGAAATCAAGTAGATGCGAACCCTAACTGCTTCGCGGTCACGCTCGATTCCTTCAATCTTCGTCCCTATCCATGTGCTTCTTTTTTACTAGTAAACGTGTGTATGTGATGTTTTTTCGAGTAAACGGTTTAGGTGATGTTTTGTAACTAGTACATGGACTTATATGACCCTTTTCTCTAATTAGTTAGAGAACTAAATGTACTTGACTACTGATTTGGTTCATTCAAGAGTTGGGGCATCAAAATGCACCAATATGTCTTGTTATATATGGCACCATTTATATATCTACATGTTAAAATATATCACGTGATTTTTAGAGCATTTGGAAAAGAAAAAAATATGCCTATTATAGAGACCAAAAAGTGGGATATATAATAGTTGTATAAAAATGACAATTATAGAGACCGAGGAACATGCCTTCCATGTTGATGTATATGATCAATGGCACTATGGCAGCATATACATCCTTAACAATTTCCACAATGCAAGCCAGAGAACTATACTCATGATGTAATGAATCAGCCATTGGAATATTAAGGAGCTTGCTTGCTTTTGGTCCTCCAAATACACGCCTGAAAACCGAGTATACAGTTTGAGGCTTGATGGAAGGGTATCAAATACGGAGTATATCATTAAATTTCTGTGCACATATTCAGCTTGAGGAATCAAATAAATATTTCTAGGAAGCAGCAAAGAAGCTGCACCTTTTGTCTGAAGTTCCATGATTAGATCATTAAGGCCACCGTTCTTCACCAAGTCATTGTGCACAAGAAGTGTTTCCTGTGAAGGAGGAGAGCAAAGCACTTTCACAGTTTCAGACAGTGGTATAAACATTAAATATTTATAGAAATATTTCTATAAATATTCCATTTTCATTTACCCAAGTGCCGCAAAGGCTCCCACCTACGGGGGGTAAGGGGGCAGGGGCGGATCCAGAAAAACTTGTTATTGGGGGCATTTCCTCGTAGAAACACAAACACCAAGGGCATGTTTACTAACAGAGACATTTTCCAGTTTTCCAGAAAACTGGAAAACTGGAAAACAGAAAACAGGAAACTTGTTTACCAAAGAAAATTAATGGAAAACTGGAGAAAGGAAAACAGAAAAACACGTTTACCAAATCGTTTTCCAAAACGAATAAAATGAGACATGTCTCTCTTTACTTTAAAGATTTGGAGAAGTGATTTTTACTAGTTTTCCAAATTTGGAAAACGCAGATGCTACAGTGCCGCTGCAATGAATTTGCATACTTACACCTAGTGGTGGGTCTGGTCCCGCTCCGATGTCGATTCCATTCTGGTACCTCCATTCTCGTACCTTACCAATTACCCCTACCCTACCCACCCTACCCCTTTTCCCTACAATGACCCTACCCCACCCCTACCACATGCCCCTACCTTGGCCCCACCCCGATCCACCCTACCATACCGCAACCCCCTACCACCCCAACCCACCCTACCCTACCCCCACCCCTCGTATATTACCCCTTACCCCTACCCTTTACCTCGGTCCCACCCTACCGCCATCCTACCCCCACCCTTGTACCCCCACCCTACTGCCATCCTACCCCACCCTACCATTCCTTTACCTTGGCCCACCCTGATCCCAGCCCCACCCTACCGCCATCCTACCCCAACTCCCTACCCTACCCCTACCTTACCCCAACATCAGCTACCCCCACCCTTACCCTTAACCACGACCCTAACCCACCCACTACCCTCACCCAACCCCTACCCCTAGACCTTACCACCCCACCCCCGACCATACCCCTTACCCCCCGACCCCTACGAGTAGGTATGGGTGGGTATGAAGGGTTGTAGGGAAGTATGGGTAGAGTGTAAGATCGTGGTAAGGGTAGAGGTAGGGGTTAATGGTGTGGAATTTGGTATAAGGTGTAGGGTGGGGGTACGAGGTATAGGGGCGGGGTAGGGGTTAGGGGTATGGGTACACGTACGAGGTGATCGACCCACATATTATATTATATTATATATTTGTGTTTATGAATGTTTGTGTGTCTATATATGTATAGGGTTATTTTGGACATTTTAATGTTAAACGGTGTTTTAAACCTTTTGAAGTAAACATGCTCTTACAACATTGCTTATTTTATGCGTCGCTTATTAACGCAGGTCTTAATAAGCACCATTTAGTAATCCGTGAAGTAAACGTGTCCCTCAGTCTTCTGGATGATCACAGAACTGGGTGAAAAAATTGATGAACATGTTTTCATATTTGAAAATGGAAAACATAAAATTGTGGTCATAGTTATTTTCCTTATGGTCAGTTTGGAGGAGAAAGGCTTTTGGGGGCTTAGCTATGCTCCCTTCATCCCTTATCACTTGGCCAAGTTTGACCAGCACGAGAACTAACAAAGTAAAAATTGTGGGGTTGAGGATTGTGTAGAGAATAGAGAATTAATAATATCCGCAAGTTTATAACTTTCAAGAAAATTTCATTTGTTCTAGATACATCCTATTTATCAAGATATAAGCTGAGGCCTCTAAATCCTTCCCCTCCAAACTCCTCCAAAAACATTTTTCCTAATACTGTAAAATAATACTACCTACGAAGTAATTCAAAACATAGTTAAGAAATGCCATACTTTTTCTGGCTTTAGGGCCAACCAAGATATCAACGAATTATCATAACCAGCTTGCTGAGAAGCAGATACATCTGCTTTTTCTCACTGAGTATCACTTTTTCATTAGCTTCTAGTACGTCAGCTATATCCAGCAAAATTTGTCTCCTTTCTTGTGGAGCAAGTGCCTATCCCAGAAACAAGCATGCAGTGGCAATTTTTAGCTGCTAAGGATTAAGGAACATGGAAAAGACAATGAAGATACTGTTGGGAATAACAGGATCGTGCTAATATGAGAGAAAAACACTTCTATTACTTTCAAGAATAGAAAGAAGAGACATACAAGCTCTAACTAAAAAACTCTCAAAACAACATCTCACATATCTCTCAAGGATATTCACAACACTCTTGGTTGTGCTATGATGATCTATTCTAATTTACTTGATGATAGAAAGTCTCTCCAAGCTCTCTATTTATATCACCAAAACTAGGTACTAGGAAGGTGGAAGGAAGGTGTGTTGAAGCTAGGAGGAAGCTTCAATGGAGGTGTGAGGAAGGTGATTCCTTGGTGTGAAGAAACTTCCCTTGTCATTCTTGCACATGGAGGAGGCTTCATGGAAGCTAGGAATTGGATTCTTCAATTTGCTTGTACTTGGATATGACCTGGAAATTGAATTCTTCAATTCTCCCCTTCCAGGCATATTCAAAACAAGCATCCCGACTATGTCTTTGCACAGCTCTAGCTTATCCCGTGTCACCACCTTCGTCAGCATGTCTGATGGATTCTCCTTTGTATTGATCTTCACTAGTCTCAACAGTTGTTGATCAATCGTCTCCCGTATCCAGTGATACTGAATGTCAATATGCTTTGTACGAGAATGGTACATAAAGTTCTTGCTCAAGTCTAGAGCACTCTGACTGTCACAATGTACCTTGTAATCTTTCTGCTGGATCCCAAGTTCTTGGAGAAAACGCTTTAGCCACAACATTTCCTTACCTGCTTCAGTGGCAGCAATGTATTCTGTTTCTGTTGTAGATAAAGCGACACACTTCTGCAATCTTGATTGCCAAAAAACAGCTCCTCCTGCAAAAGTGTAGATATATCCTGAAGTAGACTTTCTACTATCAGTATCTCCAACCATATCAGCATCTGTGTAGCCTTCCAAGACTGGATCTGCTCCTCCGTAACAAAGACATAACTTCGTGGTACCTTTCAAGTACTTGAGAATCCATTTGACTACATCTCAATGCTCCTTCCCGGGGTTAGAGAGAAAATGACTCACTGTACTCACTGCTTGTGCGATGTCTGGCCTTGTGCATACCATAGCGTACATCAAACTCCCAACTGCTGAAGAATATGGAACTGCTGACATCTCCCTGATCTCTTCCTTGGATGTAGGGCATGTTCTTTTGCTCAACTTGAAGTGATTCGCATGTGGAACACTTACTGGTTTGACATCATTCATGTTGAATCTCTCGAGTA